CTGGGAAACTCAGCAAAACCCTGCCTCAAAAAAGTAAAAATAAAAAAGGTTGGGGATATAGCTCAGTGGTATAGTGCCCCTGCATTCAAGTCCCAGTAGTGGGGACAATCCCATATTTTCAGTCATAAGATGATTCTTTTGATTTGTTTTCATTCATCTAAAAAATGTAACATCCATTCTTAGCATGGCAGATCATTCAAAAGCAGGCAAAGGGCTAGATTTCATCTTCTGCTCTTTAGTTTGCCAACTCTGCTCAAAATCCTCTCCATCTCAGTTCAGCTAAACAAATCTATTGCACATTATAAACTTGAGTCTATAGGCTGGGGAAGGTAGAAAAAGTTGAATTTGTTCTGTTAAGCCATACTTTTATTTTAAAACTCCAGGTTCAAAAAGTCATCCTATCTTTAGAACCTATGGAAATTATCCGAGGCTCTCTGTAAAAATTAGGTGGTGCTTTCTACATTTATTTTATTGTATTTATACATGACTTTGGATTTGTGCTCCATAAATGAAAGTTTTTGAAGATTGATACATGAAAAAAGAAAGTCAAATTCAGAGAAATTTATCAAACCATAGCTAAATCACACAAAGGAGGACATCAAGTAAGTTAATGTAACTCAAATTGGTTTGCAGAGAATTTGCTAAGTTCTRTTGGAGAAGGAAAGGCAGTATTTGGCTTAGTGTAGAAAACAATAATAGAGAAAGAAAATGTCTCAGTAGTTTTATGCACCTTCTAGATTTGAACCCATGTTGACATCCCATCTGTGACAGGATGTCCTGGGGTGATCAATAGGAGCTCCTGTAGCTCCTGGAATCCAGGTTAAAGGATAAAAAGTCTGGCAGATTTCCTTATTAATTAGTCTCATCATATATCACATTCAGAATTTTTCATATTAATTTGAATTTTTATATATGTAACATTTTTTTTTCCTTCACAGTACTCAAATCATGTTTTTTTTTTAAAAAATAATCTTTTGGGGCTGGGGATGTGGCACACTCGCCTGGCATGAGTGTGGCCTGGGTTCAATCCTCAGCACCACATAAAAACAAAGATGTTGTGTCCGCTGAAAACTAAATAATAAATATTAAAAATTCTCTCTCTCTCCCCCTCCTCTCTCTCTCTCTTTAAAAAAATATTTTTACTAAAACCCAGCAGATTTTGCCATATTATAAATATTATAAATCATTGGTAAATATTTGTCAAGATTGCCTGCTTTGAAAAAAATCTTTCTGCACAGAAGTGGAGGTATGTTATTTCAAAGGAACACACACTGTATTTCTTACAGAAGTGAAGAAAGGACATCACTGATTTAGAAGGTACTCACTTGTAAATTAGTGGAATAAAGAAACTTAGATCATGTTAGCAGTTAGTCAATTGTGCTACATTGTATTTTTTATTAACTACTATGCATGAAATCACTTATTTGCTACTAAGAGAATAAAAAGATGAATGATACAAGGTCCAAAATCAAGAAATTTATACCAGTGATTTGGGTGATTAGTACATATAGATTTACTAAAAGGTAAAATAACATGTCACATGTCGACTTCTAACACTAACAGAAAAGTATAAGAAAAATTAGAGGCTAAGAAAGCGTTTTAGAGAAAAAGTTGTATTTCAGCCTCTTTAAAGAGCAGTATATACTAATGGGGAAAATTAAATCAATTATGTCTTGGTAGAAAAGGGACTCTGTCAACAAGATCCAGGGTATGCTGTGAACAAGGGCGTCACTGAAGTGTGAGTCCAGGTTTGTGTCAGGGAGGAATGGGGGATGGGGCTAGCAAAAGATTGCAGGTAGATTAAGTAGTCTGGCCACCCACCAATGAGTTTGGGGATACACACATTTTCAGAAGAGCCCAGGCAGGCTCAGCAGGAAGGTCTCTTTTCTAAGAGTGAGTGTGGTTAACCTGGAAAGGTGCTGAGGAAGACCCAGGTTGCAGAGGGCTGAGGAGATAATGATTTTTAGTGACAAAAAATTAAACCAGTCTGAGGTGCTGCAGGAGTGCTATAACTCTGAGCAAAACATTCCTTTTAGGGTATGCAGTCAGTATCTTTTTGTACAATTATGATAACTTTAAGAAGAATGATATATAATGGGAGGTGTCAAAAGAAAAGGAACAATTATTGTCTAGATATTGGAATCTTCAACTTCATGGTGCTGAGCACAGAGCAAAACCATATTAAGGTTAAAAAGTAGAAGTTTAGTAGAATGTCAGTCTCTAAAGACCTTACACTGATCTTCTAGAGAGAAAAACAGCCCCTGGGGGAGCTGAATTTGTCTGGCTGAGCATGTGTAAGTTTTTCATGTTCATGATGATAAAGTCTCTGAAACCATTCCTACAAAAATATTTATAAATTATAATTTGAATTATACAGTGTGCATACAATGGCAAAAAAGTGGTGAAATTGCATTTATGGAAGACAATGAGGTAACTAAATTACAGAGCATTAAAGAACATGCTGTCAAACAGGTGCTCAAACAGGAGAGAAGGTGACCAATGCTTGCTAGTGTTCTGCATGAGAGTCTCAGGAGGTCAGAGGAGCCAATATGGAGGAACTGAGGACAATGGTTAAAGTCACACACAGACCCTGGGCTACAGACCTCCAAAGCTGCACTGGGAGGTGCATTCTGCTTAAAAATGATTAAAAATATCAGAAAAACAAGAGTGACCTTTCCTCTGCATGGAAAACTAAAGCAAAATATAAGAAAACACTTTGGACATAAATATGTAAAATAATTGTATTAATTATTTTTTGCTTCCTCTCTCATCTATTTATCTTACCAGGCAAACAGAATTTCCAGCAAATGGCAAATTCTACCATGGTAACTGAATTTCTCCTCCTGGGCTCGCCTGATAGCTGGAATCTGAGTTTCCTCTATTTCACAGTATTCCTGATGATCTATCTGGGTACCTTGTTAGGGAAACTTATCAGTGTCACTGTCACAACTGCTGACCAGAATCTACATATGCCCATGTATTTCTTCCTCAGGAACCTGTCCATTTTGGACATGTGCTTCATTTCTGTCACTGTCCCCAATGCCTGTGTCAACTCTCTCAATATCAACTGGGTCATTTCAGTGACTGGTTGTGCAACACAGATCTTCTTGGTCCTTTTTGTGCATTTGTAGAGATTTTGATTCTCTGCATCATGGCCTGGGACTGCTATGTGGACAACTGCCAGCCCCTCCAGTATCCCCTCATCATGAACACTCAGTATTATGTCCTCATGTCCCTGGCTTCCCTGCTCAGTGGTCTGCTGTATGCAGGTGTGCACACTGGGAACACATTCCGGCTCTCCTGTCAGTCAAACGTGGTCCACCAGTTCTTCTGTGACATCCCCTCTCTGCTGAGGCTCTCCTGCTCTGACACTACCAGCAACAACGTCCTTATTCTTGTTTCTATTATAATAGTTGGTGGTGGCTTATTTGCTATAATATTCATGTCATACATTTGCATATTTTCTACTGTGCTAAAATTTCCCACCAGTGCCCCAGGGAAGGCCTTCTTCACCTTCACCCCTCACATCCTCATGGTGTCCATCTTCCTCTGTTCCATCACAGCTGTGTACCTTAGGTCCTCAGCAACCTCTGACATCCTCCAGGACATGGTTCTCTCTGCCTTTTACACCGTGGTTCCTATCTTCCTGAATCCTCTCATCTACAGTCTAAAAAGAAGCAGGTAAAGGAAGCTGTGAGGACAGTAGTGCCAAGACAGTTGTTCTGAGGGAAATTATAAAGATGCATTTCAGCATTAACCTAATTTCTTTGATCATGGTTCTTATAGAAACAGTACTCTTCATATTTGTGCCTTACAAGTTACACTCTCTGTCTACCTTTCTATTATATCATTAGAAGCTGAGTTACTTTATAAGGTATATTTCTGTTATTTACCATATCATTTCCATGGATCCTTCATAGAATGTGTAATTTCATCAATGCATCTTTTAATGATTAAATATAATTCAATGTATTTGCTGAAATCATTCATGGTTATATATTTTAAAGAATGGTTCCATATGTCAACTACCTATATCAAATACTGTCACCAAAGAAAACTCTACCTATAAAATCTGGAGATAATTTATTCTTAAATAATTTTCTCTTATTCAGAACAGTGTAGAACCTAATTTTAAACACTGTGATACATAATTGTGCCAATTCATTTACTTTTTAATATATAAAAATCAAATCCTAAAGAAGTTATACCCAAAATGTAGAGAATTTCAGAGTAATATTTTTTCTCCATCTAGATTAGGCAAGAAGGAGAGACTCTTTTCTGTGAAGTAAAGAGAGGGCAATGGTTAATGCATCCTGTGTCCCAACCTTCACAATTTTCCACAGGGAACAGCAGCCTGTGCTTCCTTGGCCATGACAGGGGCCAGTCTTTGATTATGTCCATRAATTGAGATCAGCTTTCTGATGGTTTGTCTTCCACACATCTTACTCCTATAGTGTTTGTGCTAATGACTTAATCCTAGTAATCATGGAGAAATGGACCATAGTTGTCAAGAACATGTGTCTGGGCCATGTCAACTCTTACATTTCTCTCACTTTTATTGAATTTGTAATGTAAACCTCTATCTTTATTTTGATAGTCATTTTGTTGTTGGTAGTGATTTATTGATTTATTTATTTAAATTTTAGTTTGTAATATATGACAGCAGAATGCATTATGATCTATACTGTACACATATAGAACACAATTTTTTATTTTTTTAAATAAATTACAGCAGAATGCATTTCATTTCTTATTACACATATAGAGCACATTTTTCATATCTCTGTATATAAAGTATGTTCATGCCAATTCATGTCTTCATACATGTACTTTGGATAATGATGTCCATAACATTTCACTGTCCTTGCTAACACCCTGCTCACTCCCTTCCCYGCCCACCCCTCTGTCCTATCCTTGCTAATCTCCTGCCCCCTCCCTTTTCTGCCCATCCCTCTTCCCTAAATAGAGTTTATCTATTCCTCCCATGCTCCCCCTCCCTACCCTATGAGTCAGAGAAAACATTCTGCATCTGTTTTTGTGGGATTGTCTAACTTCACTTACCATTATCTTCTCCAATGCCATCCATTTACCTGCAAATGCCATGATTTTATTCTTCTTTACTGCTGAGTTATATTCCATTGTATATATATGCCACATTTTTTTTATACATTTGTCTACTGAAGGACATCTAGGCTGGTTCCACAGTTTAGCTATTGTGAATTGTGCTTCCATAAACATTGATGTGGCTGTGTCCCTGTAGTATGCTCTTTTTAAGTCCTTTGGGTATAGACTGAAAAGAGGGATAGCTGTGTCAAATGGTGGTTTCCTTCCCAGTTTTCCAAGGAATCCCCACACTGCTTTCCATATTGGCTGCACCAATTTGCAGTCCCACCTTCAATGTATAAGTGTGTCTTTGCCCCCCACATCCTTGCCAACACTTACTGTTGTTTGTCTTCATAATAGCTGGCATTTTTAAAGGAGAGAAGTGAAATATCAGTGTAGTTTTATTTGCATTTCTCTAATTGCTAGCAATGATAAACATTTTTTCATAAATTCATTGATTATATATCATTTTCTGAGAAATGTCTGTTCAGGTCCTTGGCCTTGGATTATTTGCTTTTTGGTGTGTAGCTTTTTGAGTTCTTTCTATACTGTAGAGATTAGTGCTGTATCTGATGTATGAGGGCTAAAAAAATTGCTCCCAAGATGTAGGCTCTCTATTCACTTCACAGATTGTTCCTTTTGCTGAGGAGAAACTCTTTAGTTTGAATCCATCCATTGCATTTATTGATTCTTAGTTTTAATTCTTGCACAATATGAATCTTATTAAGGAAGTTGGGGCCTAATCCCATGTGATAAAGATTAGGGCCTACTTTTTCTTCTATTAGGCTCAGGGTCTCAGGCATAATTCCTAGGTCCTTGACCCACTTTGAATTGAAGTTTTGTGCATGGTGAGAGATAGAGGTTTAATTTCATTTTGTTGTGTATAAATTTTCAGTTTTCCCAGCCCCATGTTTTGAAGAGGCTATCTTTTTTCCAATGCATGTTATCGGCACCTTTGTCTAATATAATTGTAATTTTGTGGGTTATTCTCTGTGTCCTCTATTCTGTACCATTGGTCTACCAGTCTGTTTTGGTGCCAATACCATGCTGTTTTTGTTACTATTGCTCTGTAGTATAGTTTAAGTTCTGGTATAGTGATGCCAGAACTTAAACTATACTACAAAGCATATAGTATAGTTTATATGCTTCACTCTTCCTGCTAAAGATTACTTTAGCTATTATGGGCCTCTTATTTTTCCAGATGAATTTTATGATTGCTTTTTCTATTTTTATGAGGAATACCATTGGGTTTTGATTGAAATTTTATTAAATTTGTATAGTGCTTTTGGTAATATGGTTATTTTGATATTAATTCTGTCTATACAAGTGCAAGGTAGAACTTTCCATATTCTAAGGTCTTCTTTGATTTCTCTCTTTAGGGTTCTGTACTTTTCATTGTATAGATCTTTCACCTTTTTCATTAAGCTGATTCCCAAGTATCCTTTTTTTTTTTTTTTGAGGTTATTGTGGAATGGAGTAGTTTTTCTCCTCCGAGGATTTGTCACTGATATACAGAAATGCCTTTGATTTATGTGTGTTGATTTTATATYCTGCTACTTTTCTGAATTCATTTACTAGTTCTAGAAGTTTTCTGGTGAAGCTTTTTGGATCTTCTAGGTAGAGAATCATATTGTCAGCAAATAGTGCCAATTTGATTTATTGTTTTCCTATGTGTATCCCTTTAATTTCTTACATCTGTCTAATTGCTCTAGCCAGTGTTTCAAGAACTAAGTTAAATAGAAGTGGTGAAAGAGGGCATCCCTGTCTTGTTCCAGTTTTTAGAAGGAATGCCTTTAATTTTTTCCATTTAAAATGATGTTGGCCTAGGGCTTAAGATAGATAGCCTTTATGATATTGAGATATGTTCCTGTTATCCCTAGTTTTCCTGGTGTTTTGAACATGAAGGAGGTGTATTTTGTAAATGCTTTTTCTGCATCTATTGAGATGATCATTTAATTTTTACCATAAAGGTTATTGATGTGAAGAATTACATTTATTGTTTTTCGTATGTTGAACCAACCTCACATCACTGGCATGAATCCAACTTGATCTTGGTGCATGATCTTTTTTTATATGTTTTTGTATTTTATTTGCCAGATTTTTATTGAGAATTTTTTCATCTATTTTCATTAGAGATATTGGTCTGAAGTTTTCTTTTTTTTTTTTGATGTGTCTTTGCCTAGTTTAGGAATCAGGATGATATTGGCCTCATAGAATGAGTTTGGGAGTGCTCTCTCTTTTTCTATTTACTGAAATAAATTGAAGAGTATTGGTGTTACTTCTTCTTTAAAGGTCTTGTAGAATTTTGCTATGTATCCATGCAGTCCTAGGCTTTTCTTGGTTAGAAGTAGAATTCTGATGGTGTCTTCCATTTCATCATTTGATATTGGTCTGTTCAAATTGTGTATATCATCCTGGTTCATTCTGGGCAAATTGTATGACTTAAAAAATTTGTCAATGCCTTCAATATCCTCTACTTTATTGAAGTGTATGTTTTCAAAATAATTTCTAATTATCCTCTGTATTTCTGTAGTAAACTGTTGTGATATTACATTTTTCATCACATAGGCTGGTAATTTGAGTTTTCTCTCTCTCCTTCTCTTCATTAGCATGACTAAGGGTTTGTCAATCTTACTTAATTTTTCAATGAACCATTTTTGTTTTGTCAGTTTTTTCAGTTCTTTCTTTTGCTTCGATTTCCTTGATTTCAGCTCTAATTTTGATTATTTCTTGTCTTCTACTGCTTTTGGTGTTGAGTTGTTTTTCTTTTTCTAGGGCTTTGAGATGTAGTGTGAGTTCATTCATTTGTTGACTTTTTCCTCTTTTAAGGAATGAATTCCATGCAATGAACTTTCCTCTTAGTACCGCTTTCATAGTTTCCCAGAGATTTCAATATGTTGTATCTAATTTCTCATTTACCTCTAGGAATTTTTTAATTTCCTCCTTGATGTTTTCTGCAACCCATTGTTCATTCAGTAGCATATTGTTCAGTCTTCAGGTGTTGGAGTRATTTTTATTTTTTATTTTGTCATTGATTTCCAATTTCATTCCATTATCATCTGATAAAATGCAAGATAGTATCTCGACTCTTTTGTATTTGCTAAGAGTTGTTTTGTGGCTTAATATATGGTCTATTTTAGAGAAGGATCCATGTGCTGCTGAGAAAAAGGCGTATCCACTTGATGCCAGTTGAAATATTCTATATATGTAAGTTAAGTCAAAGTTATTAATTGTATTATTGAGATCTATAGGTTTTATAAATTTAATTTTTGTTTGGAAGATCTGTCCAGGTGTGAGAGATGTGTGTTAAAGTCATCCAAGATTATTTTGTTTTGGTCAATATGACTCTTGAACTTGACAGCTACTGAACATAGCTGCTCCATTGTTTGGGGAATATATATTTATGATTGTGGAGAATATATATTTATGATTGTTACAGCTTGTTGGTATGGTTCCTTTGAGCAGTATATAATTTCCATCTTTTTCCCTTTTGATTAACATTGACTTGAAGTCCACTTTATTTGATATGAGGATGGAAACCCCTGCTTACTTCTGCAGTCCATGTGAGTGGTATGATTTTTCCCAACCTTTCATCTTCAGTCTGTGTATGTCTTTTTGTATAAGTCTCCTAGAGGCAGCAAGTTGTTGTTGTTTTAATCCAATCTTCTTGCTTATGTCTTTTGATTGGTGAGTTTATGCCATTAACATTCAGGGTTATTATTGAGACATGTTTTGTATTCCCAGCCATATTTATTTACTTTTGTTATTTAACTTGACTTGATTTTCTTCTTTGATTAGTTTCTCCTTTAGGGTGCTTCCTCCCTCTGCTGATTTCATTGTTTTTTGTTTCCTTTTCATGGAATATGTTTCCAAGTATGTTTTATAGTGCCAGTTTTATAACTATAAATTATTCCAACTTTTGTTTATCATGGAAAGTTTTTATTTCTTCATCAAATCTAAAGCTTAATTTTGCTGGATACAAGATTCTTGGTTGGCATCCATTTTCTTTCAGAGCTTGATATATGTTGTTCCAGGATTTTCAAGCTTTTAGAGTCTGTGTTTAAAAATCTGCTGTTATTCTAATTGCTTTTCCCTTTTTGTAATCTGATTCTTTTTTCTCATGGCTTTTAAAATTCTCTCTTTATTCTGTTTGTTGGGCATTTTTATTATAATGTGCCTTTGTGTGGATCTTTTGTGATTTTGTACATTTGATGTCCTATAGGCTTCTTGAATTTGGATTTCCAATTCACTCTTCATGTTTGGAAAGTTTTCTGACATTATTTCATTAAATAGATTGTTTATTCCTTTTGTTTGGAACTCTATGCATCTTCTATCTCAATAACTCTTAAATTTGATCAATTTATGCCATCCCATATTTTTTGAACATTCTGCTTGTGGTTTCTTACCAATATTACTGTGTGTTCTTTCAACACTATATATTTTGTCCTACTTCATAGGCTGAGTAGGACCCCTTGAACTTCACCCTCACTCTGCAATAACAGCACCCTACCTGTGTCTGGCCACCCACCATCTACCCCAGGAGACACACATTTTTCCATAGAAGCCCAGGCAGGCTCAGCATGAAAGTAATGTTACTAAGGGTGAGTGTGTCAAGGTGCTGAGGAGGATGCAGAAAGACAGAGCCCTGAGTATACTATGATGGAGGTGGCCTGGGATTGAAGTGGTCTGAGTTGTTATGGAAGTGTTGAACTATGAGCAAAATCTTAATTTAAGTGTATTTGGTCAGTATTTTTTGTAAGATTATGAAATTGTGAAGAAAAAATATAGGGTTAGGGTTGTGGCTCAGTGGCAGAGTGCTTGCCTTGCACAAGTGAGACACTGGGTTCAATCCTCAGCAACACATAAAAATGAATAAACAAAATAAAGATATTAAAAATAAAAAGAAAGAAAGAAACACAATAGAATATGTCAACAAGACTAAGGCAAATTAATTTTTAGACAAAGAAATCTTTACCTTCATGGTGCGGAACATGCAATAAAAACACAACAGGGTAAAAGCAGAAGTTTAGGAGAATGTCTGCAGGAGGTTATAAAGAACTTACTCTGATTTGTTGAAGAAGAAAAGAGAGTGCCAGTGGGATCAGGAACAGGTGCTTTTCTGATGGTGTGTGACCATAAGACAGCATCACTCATGTCCTGGGGAGCAACAGGGAAAGTAGTGGACTGAAGATTAGCCATGTGCAGTCAGGTCACTCAGTTTACTGTAACACCAGACCTGTGAGCTTGGAATGGGAAAATTTGGTGGAGAACTTTCCTCATGAGAAGTTTTTTTTTTTTTTCATGTTCATGAGAATAAATACTACAACATTATGAATCATTTGCTACCTAAATTTTTTTTTGAATTATGATTTGAATTTATATGTGGGAAAATGAGAAAATAATCTGGACAGTTATATTAATGAAATAAAATGAAGGTGACGAAAATGGAGAACAAAAGGAATGCATGTGACACACATGGTCATGGGGAAGAGGAGGTGGACCACCCTGGAAGTGCTCTGTATGGTGTCTCAGGAGGTCAGGGAAGCCTGATGGGGAGCTGAGAACAAGCCCTGCAGGTCAGGCCCAGACCCTGGGCTGCAGACCTCCACACCTGCACTGAGAGGTGCATTCTGCTCAGAAATGATTAAAGATATCAGAAAACCAGAGTACCTTCCTCTGCAGGGAAAGCTACTGCAAAGTACAAGAAAACACGTTGGACATGAATGTGTAAACTAACTATTATTTTTCAAATATGTTTCAGTTGTCTATGAATATTAATATTTTATTTATTTTTTTGATTTATATGCAGTTCTAAAAATCAATCCCAGTGGTTCACACATGCTATTCAAGTGCTCTACCACAGAGCAACAGACCCAGGCCCAACCACTTTTATTAGTCATATTTTTGCTTCCTCGTTCTTATCTCTTTATCTTCTCAGACAACCAGAATTTCCACTAAATGGCCAATTTCACCATGGTTACTGAATTTCTCCCCCTGGGCTCTCCTGATATCTGTAATCTGAGTTTCCTTTATTTCACAGTATTCCCACTGACCTACCTGAGTATCTTGTTAGGAAAAGTATTTTTATCACTGTCCCCAATGCCTGTGTCAACTCTCTCAGTAGCATCAGGGCCATTTCAGTGGCTGGCTGTGCAACACAGATGTTCTTAGTCATTTTCTGTGCATGTGTTGCATTTCTATTTCTCACCATAATGGCCTGCTTCCTTCTTAAAGCATCTTACACAAAGTCTCAGATGCAAACAGGTAAAGGAAACTGTGAGAAGAGTGATGCAAAGACAGTTGTTCTCAGGGAAATGATGAAGACGCTTTTCAGCATTATCCTCATTTCATTGAGTGGAGTTAAATGAGATCAAATGCTCTTCTAATGTGGGCTTTACATGTTACCCTGCCTACCCTATTATCACCTTACTAGTATCTCAATTATTTTATAGCATTTTTTGGTGATTTACCCTATTATTACCATGGATCCTTCATAATAGTTTAATTTTACCAATCCATTTTAATATATAAATATGATCTGGTTTTCTGATATCTTTAATATTCAGAAAATATTTTCTGAAATCATTTCTGGTAGTATATATTAAAGTTTCATAAACTACTGCCACAGAGGAAATCTTTACAAATAAAACATGAAAATAATATACAGTCACATAATCTGCTGTCAAACTGTGATACAAAATGTGTCAATTTAATATCTTTGAAAATATATAAAAATCAAATTCTTAAGACTTCATAAAAATAAAAGTAGAGAGAATCACAATGATACTTTTCTCCATTTAACACATATAAATAAAGGAAGATAGTCTATGTCCATGAAGAAAAGAGAGAGGAAAGGTTACATTCATCATGAACCAACAGTACAATCCATCCACTGGGGAAAAGCACCTTGGGCTCACCCAGCTCTTATGGCTGCCAATCTTTTATTATGTCTATGAGTGGTCTAGTTTGGGGGACCCAAATTCAGGGCTGAGTTGCAGGTCAGATTTCTAAGGGTTTTCTTCCAACACATGGTACTTCTGTAAAAATTATGATAATGATCATACCTGATCATTATGAAAAAGTGGCCAGGAATTGTCTGGCCTCACTGTATGACCTGTGTAAACTTGAAAATTTCTCTCAGTTTTTTTGTATTTTGTAATGCAAACCTCTAGGAGCATTTCTGGCCATCTTTTTGGTTGTCGTTGCTGTTGTTGTACTCAGCAGGACTGAACCAAGGCTGCATCCCTAAACTTTTGTTCTGTTTTTCTTGTGGGAAAAACTATATATGCTTTAAGCAGACAAACTCCATTTTACCCTGAGACTCCACTGCATATGAGAAATGCTTCTCATATGAGAAAACCCTGCATATGTAATCCACTTTCTGCCAAGCACACCCTGTATGGCAACATATAAGGCTAAAAAATGTTTCAATTATTCTTTCCCAGTGTATTATTAGGAACTACATGTGTAAGTTGTTCTCATTTTAATTCCTATTTTTATTGGGCTGCTTACTGTACTCTGACTGGGTAATTCTGACCCACTTCCCATGTTACTATGGTTTTGACTTACTGGTAGCTTGAAGTTTAGGGCTATAAAAATGTACCCTACCTTCTGTAAAAGGTTGAAGGATGCAGAGCCGAATTTCTATCTGCCATTTCTACCCACCATCTAAGAAACTTAATGTCCTACTTCAAGACTAACCCAGTGATTTATTTCCAATGTGCCACATTGTATCACAGAAAATCGGGTATTTCTACGTTGCATAGGAACTCCAGGGATATTTTGAGGCTGGCTTCAATCCTGTGATCATTTTTCATCAACCTCCTCATGGGTGGGATGGCAGGTGAGCACCCCTGTGCCCAGTTTGTGGCAGCTCATCATCTCACATGAGTTATTTCTCTCCAAACATTTTATTGTCCTCATTGGCATCTGCTTTGTTCATCGTTAATTATGACTGACATAGGCTCCATATCAAGTTACCTACGAGTACTGATATAACATAATGAGGAAAAAAATATTTGTACAAATAACAGTCAGTGTATTTAATTCCAAAATCTAAAAACAATCAATTTTGTTCACCAATACACTAACAGGAATATGTGGAGAAAAACAAAAATGCATTTATTACCTAGGAAAATATGAAAGCCTAAATATATGTGATTGATTAATAAAGGCATTTCTTAAATTTTCAGACAAGGGAATACTTGCAGAATTTTAAATAGATCATTTTAAAAGCTGGGTCCAAAGAATGAGTGGATATAAACAGACTGAAGTCCCTAAAGAGATGCTCCTTTAGGTATTTCATACCTCTTCAATAGGAAAGGAGCTGAGAGAATCTAATAAATTTGTAGGATCATACCTATTGCACACTCAAGGTTGTAGATGGGGGAATTCCCTTGAGAAGTGTCCTGTAGCCACCCTGCTTGTACAGAGGGCACAGGAAGTTGTTCTACCATGCTAAGCAAGGAAGGCATTCAGAAACCACCATTGTACTAATTTTGGGGACCCAACTATTTTGTGAGCTGGCATCAGACTTTAGCATCATTTACATTGTGCCATCTCTACAGGAATGCAGGGTGCTCAAATCAATGCCTTCCACCATCAATTCAAAGAAAGGCTTGGTAGACCAAGTGAACTGTAGCATAGTCTGAGGCCCTCCAGCCTCCCCCTGACAGGGTGACTAGGTAAAGCTGTGAATGTGCAGCCAAAGTTGGCATGGAATCCCAAGAAATTAACAGTTACCAGTCACATAACTCTCTGCCACAAAAAGGCAAAGAGAACCCCTGTGCTCTGCAACTGGCAAGGCCAAAGGGCAGGATTTACCAGGCCTTTTGGAAATATTGTCTTACAGTCAGGAGTCCTAGCTGCTACAGGAGGAATTACAGATGGAGTTGTTTTCTCAGCTGATTTTTTATTTCCTCTACCCCATCCATTCTTTCCACAGCCCTACTAAGTCCTTTTGGAATAAGAAGGTTTGTGTTGTACATTCGATACTGATGCATGTAACTTGCTTTTGATTTTTATGGGTGCTTACAACCAAGATTTTACCTTCAGTTTCAGGTGAGATTTTTGGCCCAAACTTTAAGGTAAAGCTGGAATTGTTAGGACTAACAGACACTTGGAGAGGGACTAAATTCATTTTGCATTGTGAAATGGACATGAGTTTTGGAGGTCTGGGGTTGAAAAATTATGGAAGGGATGTGAGGTGTCTCAAAAAGTGCCTGAAATGAGGCAGGAATTTTCAAAGGTAGAAAGATTGGATTATGAGAGCTAAAACCTAATAAATCCATCTTAATTTGAATGAATTGATTGGGTGGTAGCTTTAAGTATTTGGGACATTGCTGGAGGAGGCGGCCCACTGGGATTAATCCCTGATAGCTTTCCTCTAATCCTAACCCTAACCCTCTTTCCCCTTCGCTGTCTTTGCTTACCTGGAGCCATATCTGAGCATCTTCCCTATGATTTGCTGGTCCTCAGTGTGCCCCACTATGGGCATAAAAGTCATGAAATTGACCAAAGATAGACTAAAACCCTGAACCCCTGAGACAAAATGTTTTCCCTAATCTGGGTTGGTTTTTGTTTATTGTGGGTGGGTTTTTTTTAACCAGGTATTTTGGTCAGAGCTATGCAAATCTGACATAATTATTCATCATAATCACATAGAGTGAAGAGTGCATACCAGAGATGACCAAATGACCAAACTTATAATAARCAATAAATCAGCCACATTATATTACCAGACTGAGGAGAAATAAGTCCAAAGATGGATGTGCTGATTTACAGATCTGTGGAATGTACATGTAACAGAATGTCCTTCATCCTAAGGAATGAACAAACAATGCCTGTGCAAGGTGGACTGATTTTGAAAAAGTTAGGGTAAGTCAAGCCAGAACATATATTGAATGATTTTATTTATATGAAATTTCACAAATATATAATTTCAGAGGTACAGAATATAACTAGAGTTTTCTAGTGTCTGTAAGACCATGTGTAACAGATTAGATGGTTCATCTGAAGTAATAAAAGTATCTGGGAACAAGTTGTAGTTGGATGATCAACAACGTGGTAATGTAGTAAATATCACTACATTTATAACCATGAACTGTCACAAAGGTAAACTTTATGTCATGTGAATTTCATGTCAATGATAAAAAAATTTTTCCACTCAACTACAGTGTGAACGGTTTCCACTTACAAGTTTGTGAGTGAGAGTTGCTCACCAGCCTTGATGTTACCTGATCCATACCAACACCCTTAATTCATAATGAGGAGAGGGGGGCAGAGATGAAAACACACAGGGAGAACTATAAGTCTTTTCAGTGTTACTCACTTCTCAGTAATGTCTTATGGCCCTGTGCAGCAGAACAGTTCCACTGTCCATGCTGGCACGTGGCCAGGTCCTCTCTCCTGGGCTCTGGAGGTGCTGCTGCCTGGTGGTGTGCTCAGGCCTCCTGCTGTTTCTGCAGGCTGAGCTCTGGGCTCCTGGGGGCCCTGCTCCCACTGGCCAGGYGTCAGGTTCACATAAAGCAGAGRTGACTGGGCTCCCCACATCCCACATGGCACTGTGCTGACTGGACAGATTCACCCTGGCTGCAGATACCATTGATGGGAGAAGCAAGGGGACACACGGTTCTGTTCCATGTTGACAACAAGTGACACTCAGGAGTGAGTAATAAGCAGTTAGAGTTTAAATGCATCTGAACTTCACTTTTATTCTGTTCAGCAAATTACAGTGTCATCCAAAGAGTCAGCTAGTCCAGAAAAAAGATTTCTTAATACTGAGAAGAACACAGCAACATGGAGAGTCCTTAAAACTGCACTATGGTTTTGGGGGTGATTGCCAGGGCTGCAATAGGAACACATGGACCCTGGGGACATCTTCACAGTGTTTGCAAGTATAGTGAGTGAAAATTTTTCATGCTGATTCTAGATGGTTTAAAATTCTTTTCTTCAGATTACTATTACTTCTAGTACACTTGCAAAATTCACCAAATTCCAGAGAAAAACAACACATTAACATTAAGACAGCAAGAACAAAATGCAAAATATGGTATAGGTTATGTAGGTAGACAGGAATGTTTTTATACAACTGATAAACATGCATACATGTCAATAACAGTAGGAAATAAGATATTTAATGTAGAATACAATTTTCATTGGAATATTTTGAACATTAATCTCACCCCTTTCTTTTGATCACAAATACCTTTTTTTCACTTATTCTTTTTTTGTTACTTTTTGTTTTATGGGTTTCAGAGATTGAACCCAGGGGTGCTTAACCACTGTGCAACATCCAAGCCCTTTTG